TTGGTGTAAATTGGATGCTTGCATGAGACAGAGAGTGCAGCGCCACATGCTCGACTTATACACCAAAAAGACCATTATAATCTATGTCTCCTTGAAGTCGTGCCGCCTTTGAAGAAGACAGCAAGCTTGTGGAAGATTTATGACCAAATAAAAGGATTAAGTTTTCACTTCACCCCTTTGAACGACAAATACCCTCTTTTTCTCCAAGAAACCATTGCACTCTCAATGATGTTGGCGTTGTGTAGAGTGATCATGGCTTTGATATCTTGCAATGATGATGTTCAAAACTTGGGAACTTCAGCACAAAGATACTATTGAAGTCCTTTGAGAAAATGGCTTTGATGTTTCTCCGCATCGTCAGCATTTGATCAAGGAAAAAAAATCTTTTAAAGATCTGTCACAGGAAAAAGAGTCTCTTCAACCAGTCCTCTCCCGTGATCGAGTAAAGTCTCTGACCATTGAAGCCAAGATTGCTTCGTTGGACAACAATATTGAAGAATGGCGTAAAAATATTGAAGCAGCGGAAAAAGAGAAGGTAGACTTGGAACAATGGTGAAGACAAAGGATCGCCTAAATGACATTGGTCGAAGCATGGACTCCTTGTTAAGGTAATACACCTTTCTCCGCGATGTCATATTTATATGTTTTTTTATGTGTCCTATCTAATTGTTTCTCCTTTTTTAACAGGCCTAAGCTAGCATCCGAACACACAGACACCCTTATTCATTGATGGATTCCCCATAGTTTATGGATTCTGAAAGTTGTGAGATTTTATAAATTTTTATGGATTGTTGTTGATTTTATAAATTATTCTTGTAGATTGTTATTGATTGATATGGATTTGTATTAACTTTGTTTCTTCTAGACAAGGTAATATATATTTTGTCCAATTTTCTAGAATTCACTTGCATGTTAAAAAAAAAAACCATTGTTAGTTGCCATCATCGTTTTTCAAATCTTGTTTTTCATACATCTTTCTGCAAAATCATCAATTGATATGAGTTTCAATGAGATTTTTTTTTTCTTTCTATAATATATTATTTGTTCATGTTTTGGTCTTGCAAAATTTCTATAATTTATTTAATACAATACATAATAGCATATTAGAGTTCTTTTGTTTGTGTCTGTGTTAATCGAGTTGACTTTTTTGTTTGTGCAATATAAAGACAATCAAAAGAGGATTGTTTTGTTCGTTGGAATTTTTTTTTTTGTCGTCTGTGTTTTTAACATAAATTTTCAGAATCTTATAGATATCTATGGTATTTTGAAAATCTTGTTGTATGAATAAAAGCGTATAGATTTCATTTTCCAATAACATAGAATTTTAAAAGAATTAGACAATCAATAAAACATAAACTTTTTGAATAACAATAGATTTTGAAAAAAATGTAAAAATTTTCAAACGAATAATAATAGATTTTATTAAATTTAAAAAAAATCCACTAATCAATAACAATAGAATCTAAAAATTTCAAGAATCTATGAATAACCCCCCTGCCCCAGCACTAATATATTAGGTTTGAAAATTAATATTTTACAAATTAGGGACCGTTTGTGAAAATAAAAATATCTTACAACGCGACACCGGCAACCAAATCGTGAAAGTCCGATTCGCCGAATATGAGATTTATGGCAGCCGCAGAAGTTCTCCGGCGAGAAGTGCCCGTAGTCAGACATCTCCTTAACCTTCGTCGTCTCTACTCTAATCACTTCAATCTCTCTCTAAAGTCGTCGCCTTTTTCTGAATCCGAAACCAAATCGAAATCAAATTCTCAGTCTACGAATGCCATTTCAGTTTTCCAGCAAGCCGTCGACTCCGGTGGGTCTCTCACGTTCGCCGGAAACAATCTCGCGGCAACACTGGTACGCTCTAAGAACTACGAACTAGCATTTTCCGTTTACCGGAAGATGATTGAGACTAATACATTCATCAATTTCGTATCGCTTAGTGGGTTGCTTGAATGTTTTGTGCAATTACATAAGATTGGATTCGCGCAAGGGGTTCTGGCTTTGATGTTAAAGCGTGGGTTTAGTATCAATGTTTACAATCTTAATATCCTCTTAAAGGGTTTTTGCAAGAATCTCGAATTTGGTAAAGCTGTTAGTTTGCTTAGAGACATGAGACTTAGTTCTCTGGTGGTTCCTGATGTTGTTAGCTATAACACTGTGATACGAGGTTTATGCGAAGGGAAAGAGTTGGATAAAGCGTTGCGATTAGCGTATGAAATGGAAGGTAGTGACTGTTCTTGGAATTTGGTGACTTGGGGGATTTTGATTGATGCGTTTTGCAAGGCTGGTAAGATGGAAGAAGCGATGGGGTTGCTTAAAGAGATGAGATTTAAGGGTTTAGAGGCAGATCTTGTTGTGTATACTTCGTTAATTCGAGGGTTTTGTGATTGTGGTGAGTTAGATAGAGGGAAGGCACTTTTGGATGACATAGTGGAGAAAGGGGATTCTCCCTCTGCAATTACGTATAACACTCTTCTTCGAGGTTTTTGCAAGATAGGAAAGTTGAAAGAAGCTTCACAGATGTTTGAGGTTATGATGGAGCGTGGAGTTCGGCCAAATGTTTATACCTATACGGGTCTAATTGATGGCCTTTGCGGAATAGGGAACACTAAAGAAGCCTTGAAACTTTTAAACCTGATGTTAGACAAGGATGAAGAACCGAACGTTGTGACGTATAACATTATTCTTAACAAGCTGTGCAAAGAGGGCCTTGTGGCGGATGCTTTAGAGGTTGTTGAATTAATGAAGAAGAGGGGTACAAGGCCTAATATCATTTCATACAACATATTACTCAGTGGACTCTGCGCCAAAGGTGACTTAGACGAAGCACGTAAGCTTCTCTTTTTGATGCTGAATGATAGGAATTATGCTGATCCAGATGTCATATCGTTTAATACTCTAATCCATGGACTGTGCAAGAAAAACAGTCTCCATCAAGCTTTGGATATTTATGATTTGCTGGTTGAGAAATTGGGTGCTGCAGATATAGTAACTACTAATATATTACTTAATAGCACTCTCAAGTCTGGAGATGTAACCAAGGCAATGGAACTTTGGAAACAAATTCATGATTCCAAAATCGTTCCAAACTCAGATACCTACTCTACTATGATTGATGGGTTTTGCAAAACAGGGATGCTTAATATTGCTATAGGATTGTTTTGTAAAATGAGAGGGTCTGAGTTACGGTCTAGAGTTATCGATTATAACTGTCTAATGTCATCGTTATGCAAAGAGGGAAACTTGGACCAGGCATGGAGATTATTCGAGGAAATGCAGCGTGACGACAGTTGTCCAGACATTGTTACTTTCAATATTATGATTGATGGAAGTCTTAAAGAAGGGGATATTGAATCTGCAGAGTCACTTCTTGTTGGGATGTCTCGAGCTGGTGTTTCCCCTGATTTATTTACTTATTCCATGTTGATAAATAGGTTCCTGAAACTTGGATATTCAGACAAAGCTATCGGTTTCTTTGACAAAATGGTTGAGAGCGGCTTTGAACCTGATGCTCATATTTGCGATTCTGTGTTGAAGTATTGTATCTCAGAGGGAGAAACAGTAAAGTTGAAAGACGTTGTCGAAAAACTGGTGGAGAAAAATATTGCCCTCGACAAAGAACTGATGTTTACGGTCATGGAATACATGTGTAGTAGCTCACCAAACATGGATCTTGCAAAGCGGTTGCTAAGAGTAGCAGATGAATAGAGGAATGAGGAGAATACATATACATATTCATGCTCTGTTTTGCTAACTTGAGGACTGTAATGTAAATCTGAGTGCTCCTAGAATCTCCATGTCTAGTGAGTTTTCCTTTTGGCGAGTTCTTTAAGAAATCTCCTTTGATTCTTTCCTACCCGAATCCGTGGATTCAAGTCAGTTACAGTTTGACTGCAAGATGTTGGAAGAGCAGTCGGTTGCGTTCTCCCTTCGGCGTAACTTATTTAGATGCCGGTCCATGAGAATGGGTGTTGACAGAGACGACAGGAGTTGAACTCAGCTTCACATCAAAGCTCAAAAAGGCGATTTCAAAGGTGTTGAAGAGCTCCTTGACCAAGGAACATATGTGAACGCTTTAGCTTGTGGACCCAAATCAAAAGGAGTGACTCCTTGCAGCCGAAAGGGGGGTCACATTGAAGTCATGGACTTGCTTCTTGAACGTGGAGCCAACATTGAAGCTAGAACCTGGGGTGCTTGTGGTTGGACTCCTCTCCACTCTGCATCTAAAGAACGGAAGAGAGAAGCCGTGAAGTGTCTTGTGGAAAATGGCGCTTTCTTGCCGGATGATATAATAGATTCAACCCGCCGGTTCAGTATTGTCACGGCTTGGAATGGGCTTATGAGGAGATGAAGAAACTCAGTGGAGAGAGTTCTTTATCTTGTGGTGACACTTCTTCAAGTTCTGAGAACTGGTTCTTGTTTTTTTTTTCTGTTCTTGCATTTGCTCGTGTACTGTAACACTTTGTGTGTGTGTGATATCTTCTTGAGTTGTTGCTTTGGTTGCTTGGTTCGAGATGTAAACCATCCTCGGTTTCATCCTCGGTTTGGGTATGAATATGCACAGTCCGGTTTTGATAGCGTTTTCGGTTAGTTTTCTCATAAAATGAAGAGAACTCAAAGTAAAGTTTTCTCATAAAATGAAGAGAACTCATAGAAAATGATACATTTTATCACCAGCATTAGATACAATTACCAAAACAATTACATCTTTTCTTTATTGTTATCTTTTTTCTCAATTAGAAAAAAAAAAAAAGAGCCATTATCATCATGAACAAGCAGAAGCATCAAAATTAGGCAACACAATGAACGACATCGACAATGGCAAGACATGAACCGGAGATTCCATGTCACGGAGAACCGGTTCAAGGTTTGGGATATCTCCGGTTGACGTCAGTTTTAACGGTTTACCGTTCAAGTTCATTGTCTTGCTCCGTAACTCACCGTTTTCTGGTGTTAGATGATACTCTTCTCTGTTCAAATATCCATCCGAAGCTTTATTTCCAATCCAAGAAACATGTTTCTTCAAAGTATCCAACAATGATTTCTTCTTCTTTGACTCCGCTTTCAAAACCAAGTTAATGCCATTGCTCACGCTAACCGTAAAGTCCGATTGATTGCTTAAATTTATCAGAAGCATCGTCACACCCGCCTAAAACCGAGAAAAAAAAAAGAAGCTTTTAAAGTAAATGCTAACCGGAAGTTGAGATTTTAAGGATGAGATAAGTAACTCACTCTTCCTTTTGAGCAATGCGCGTAAACCCGTAGCTGCGGTGGTCCATCTGTCTGAACCGCAAGAACCCCTTTTCCCATTAACCGATGCCAAAGCAGCGCGCTGTCCCGAGTCCCGACCAAAAAGAAGGATTTACGGAAAAATCAGTTAAAACTTCAAGATCAATCTAGGATAACCAAAAATCCAAGAGTTCTTGGTTTATGGTTATGGGTCTCTCACCTATAGTAATCCGGATTTGGAACAAAAGTTCCCCTTTCGAGCAAGCCGTAAAATCCTCCAACCAAAGTCTGTCTGCAGTAAACTTTAGTGTTGTGTTTCGACGACATTCCAAGCTGATCTAGATACCTTAAAAGATTATGATGGAAACAGGCTTCTTTTAGTTCAGTAACAGAGAACCCAGGGAAAAAATCAAGAAATCCGACAAGCCGAAATCGGTTTCTTATTTGGTTTACCAGAAGCTGTCTATGAATGTATCAGAAACATGACGGCCACCACTATTGTAAGCCCCACCAGATTCTCCAACCCAAGCAGAAGCCCATGGTCCATGCTCTCGAATCGTTCGGTTCACATTCTTGAATGTTTCTGCTACCTTGCTTAAGTAACTCGGATCCATTATCTTCTTCACAAGCTGTGGATCATTCCCTGCAAGACACAAACAGAGAAGCCAATGAATTCCTCAGAAATGATAAAGTTATGATTTTGATTTGAACTTGATTCTCTTATACCAGACCGAACCTGAACCAAGATTGTATATATGATGAGTCACGATGTTGACAACACCAGGACCGGAGATCTGAAGAAGTTTAGTGTACCATTGTTGTTCATAGAATCCTCCAGGAGCGACAAGCGAAGGCTTGGTTAACCGAGAATCTCTATACACTTTGTTGATTACATCTTTAAGTACAATCAAGTCTTTCCCGTAAAGCTCTGCGCTCACACTCGCACCAACCCCGCTTCCACTCAGCTCGTTTCCTATACCGAGAACAAGTAAAGCTAATAAAAAAAAAACCGAGCAAAAGACTGAAGACTTTAAAAATGTTTAACTAAATGTTGTTACCGAATTCCCAAGAATCTATACTGTAACCCTTTGAGACTGTGTAGTTTATGAAATCTTGAGTGTTAATGTGATTCCACGCCCCGCCCCACGCATTTCCACGGAGTTTGTGTCTCCCGTGCAAAGCATTTAAACCGAAAGTCACTATAGCTCTATGAGATAAAAAGAATAAAACACAACTAAATCAAGACTCTTGAAAATGTGAACCTTAATGAAACTAAACCAAAACCGAAGGCGTACCCAGTTGCGGTTAGGAAACTGTTGAGCTCGTCCCATCGTTTCATATGCAAGCATCCTTTAGAGAATCCAAACAACCCGCTGTTCATTTTTCTGAATGGACGGCAAGGAGTTTGGAGATGTCCTACGTCGTAAATCACTTGATCTTGAAGCGAACCGCCGATTCTTATCCTCAGCGGCTTGAAAGCTAAAGCAAATCCAAATTCCTATAAGTTTCAGAAATCAAGAACACACGAGCAATGACACACACAAAAAACGGTCTACGAGTTGCAAACCTTGTACAGCTTTAGCAAGAAGAGGACATGATAAGTCCTGTAAAACATTCAAAAGATCATACATTTCAATCAGAGTCGCGGAAATCATGGATACTAATCGTAAAGACCAAAAAATGAATTCTCTTCTCTAGTTTTCTTATTACCATATTGATAACTGAAGAGTAACCCCAAGGACAATTGTCATAGTTGCACTTGTCATGTGGCCACCAGTCCAATGTCGCACAAACAAAGTTGTCGTCGGTCTCAGCAAGTAGACTAGCTCCATCTATAACTATCGATACACGTTTCATGTCTTGAGCCATTGTTGTTGTCTCTAGAACTAAAAGAAGACAAGCCACGAAGACAAAGAAGCAAACTTCTCTGAAGCCCATTATTTTGCTTTTTGAGCTTCACTATCCAAAGGTTTCTAACTTTCCTGTAAAACAAACTCAACTTTTTTTTTTTTTAGTAAAAACTTGAACAAGATTGAAAATCTAAAACATTAGAAAAACAGAGCTCAAACCTCTGCAATTTTCAGAACAAGCATGTGATTACATAGAGAGAGAGAGAGGCTTGCATGTGAAAATATACAGAGAAAGGAATAAACTTTTTTCTGGATTTGAGGTTAATGAATATAAACATAGAGTTAGGTGTAATTAACCCGATAAAGAAAAACATAGCTTTTTTGCTGACAAATTCTACCAATGACCAGAAGAAGAAAGTGATCTCAGAGACAGGCTTGCGTGTCAAAAAACATTCTATAGAAGAATAAAGTAAAACTATTTTAGATTCATCATGACCATATAACCAGAAGAGTTAGCTGCAATTAGTCCAAAGTTGAATTATGTAAATTAATTAGTCCAATATAAATTGTATTTTCAACCACACATGCTCGCTCATAAGCATTAGATGAGAATCAAAGGCGATTACATATAACCCATAAATAACATCCGACCCGGATCGGGATTTGAATTGGTTAATTTACAATTGGGATTACAGAAAAAAATGGAATTTAATAATTAATGGTAGTGACAAAAAAAACAAAAGAATGAACTAAAAATGGAAAGGAGTCATCAAATAGGAATTAAGAAAAGAGGAAAGTTGTGGTCATGATTCTAATTAAATCTCTTAACAGATTCTTAAAACTCAATTCAGAAACAGATGAGAGAAGGATCTGAAAATTTGAAAATGGTAATCGGAGATCGAAGCAAGAACTGACCTTAGAATCCAGCTTCTATGGAGAAAATTTCAGACAATGGTAATTATAAAAAAAATCTGGACTTTGTGATTGTTCTTGAGCTTTGATCAAAATCTGGCGGTGATGATGTTTGCAATGTGTCGGCTTTCTCTATTTCACTTGTGCTCGCTCATTGAGATGTTTTTTTCTCTTCCAATTTTTGTTTATTATTTTTTTTCTTAAATGTTTTGGTATTTTTGGAGTTTGGTGCAACTTGATGAATCAAACCTTCTCTTGAAACATGAGCTTTCTACTTACCAAC